GCAGCGTGCTGGGGGTCCTTTGGTTGGGGGGGGTACCAGATTAATAGGCATCCATCTGCTGGGGGAAGTCATGTGCCCGCAAAGGAGACAGTGAGTGAACAGCCAAGGCCCGGGGTGTCCAGGCAGGGAGGAAGGGCGCGTGTCTGCATGTGCACCCGTCACCCCGCCCCCCTGCCCAAGTCAGCACTCCCGGGGCTTGCTGCCATTACGCAGGAACATTTCCGGACTCTACTTTGGGAACTGCCTTCAGACCCAGAAGCACCCCCCTCTGCTTTTCTCAGTGACAGTAAACCCATTTTCCCGGCCTGAAACATGGCTCTGAGCACCCCGTGTGTGTGAATGGAGGGCAGTGCACGTGTGTGCGCGCGTGTGAGTAAGGGCAGACGGGTGGGGTGGGCCTGCAGAGGACCCCAGGCCCATGGGAGCCTCGGTGAGTTCCAGGTTCCAGGGTGCCCTCTGTCCTGTATGTAGAGAGAGCAGGATGGCCAGCTGGCCGGGCTTTTGCTCTCTCTGGCGAAGGGGGAAAGAATTAGGGTTGGTGATGGGGCCGTTCCCAAAGCCCGAGGTTTCACTGAGGAAAAAGGAGAGAATGGGCCTGGGGGAGGGGAATCCTGGGGTCTCCTCTGGATTTCCCAGATACTGAGGATGACTGCCCTCAAGAGTGCACGGGCGGACCCTCCGGGGGCAGAGACAGTCACGGGGAGGGTCGCAGCACCGCCCAGCACAGCGCGTCCTAGGAGCCCGAGACCAAAGACGGGCCTTGTGCCTGGAGGATGTGGGTCCAGAGGCCCGGCCCTCAGTCAGAGGCTGGGTAAGTCGTAGATCGTGCAGAAGGTGCGGGGGAACAGCTCTTCCCTGGTGGTGTGGGCTCACTTCAAGCTCCCGCCGGTCCCCGCTCCACCTGAGTGGTCCCACTTCCAGTGATGTGTGCGTGTGGCCGTGACCTGCCTGCTTCTCGTCGGCGAGGTGGTCCGGCCCTGGACCTGGCCTGCCTGGCTTCACACCTGCACCCTGCCCCATGGCAGCCGGAACAGACAGGACCGTGCTGCACGCACAACCGCCCAGACCCGAATGGCTGGGGTCCGTCCCGGTCATGGGTGTCTTGGCCCTGCTACCTGTCCATCGTGGGACCCGTCTTCTCACTGCAGACCCCGAGCCAGGGGGACAGCCAGGGGGATGCCCGCTGTGGGCTCTGGCAGAGGAAGGGGGGACTCTGGGAACGCTCAAAGCGGCTGTGGAATGTTCTGTTCCGTGAACCCGTTGCTTCCGCTCACGGCTCGCTGGCCGGGACCAGTCACCTGGCCCTGCTCAACCACGAGGGTTCCAGGACGTGGCCCAGAAGGCAGAGAGCCCGAGCTAGGTGGGGAGCAGCCCCAGGGTCAGCCCCAGCGCCGACCAGCTCTGTGACCGCCGGCTGTGTGTGACCGCTCCCCCAAGTGTCGCTGTGAGGAGTCGGTGAGGCAGCGCGTGCACACACACAGCATACCCCCCGGTTCTGACCCAAGACGGAACCCGTCGGGCCGCGCGGGCTCCAGATCGGAGCCCCGGGATTCTACCGCACGCTCTTGGCCACACGTGGGGAGCAGACTGGGGAGGCCGTGAGAGTGAGCCGGACCGGAGAAGAGGCTCTCCTGCCTCATTGGACCCTGTTCCCCGCTGACCTCCAGGGGCGGCCCACACACCCGAGCGAGGCTAGACCTCGGGGAGCGGGGGGGGAGAAGGAACCGCGCTGTCGGAGACCTGGGCTGGGACGCCAAGACAGGAAACCGAAGCGGGCTTGTCTCGAGGTGGGTGTGTTCTCGAAGGAGAGGGGCTGTGCCGGACAGGGAGCCAAGGGCTCACGGACAGTAAGGCGCCCCAGGATGCGTGTTCCTTGTCGGGATGGGGGGAGGCGGGTGGTTGCTAATGGATCACCCAAAGGCCGATCAAGAATCCGCAGAGCCAGTCTTCCAGCCTTGTCGTGCGAAACCCCCGAATCCGCATAAACAGCGTCGCCTTGGAACCCCCCCACCTTGGGACTCATGGGAGGCAGCATTGAAGGTCTGTTTGACTTTCTCACCTCCTCTTGACTTGCTCAGCACGGAGCCCCGGCAACTTGTGGGGCGTCTTTGAACCAGAGCCACGGCGTCCTGGCTCAGTCACACGGAAAGGCCTTTTCAAGCCAAACACTGAGCCGATGTCTGCACACAGCAGCTTCTGTTCTTTTGATGGAGTGGGCTCGGGGCCCGGCCCCAGCGCTGCTAGCTGGGTGCCCTGGACAAGTGACTTCACTTCTCTGGAAGTGGGGGTGAAGGGGGTGAAATGTGGGCTGGTTTGGCCGTGAGGACCTCCGTCTGAGCCCCGGGGTGGTGCCGGGCAGGAAGGATCCCCCCCTCTCCTTAGCTTCCTGAGGGCTGAGTTTCTCATGGGAGACACCCACCTCTCTGAAGCAAAGGGCACCTGGCTGGGATGAGCCGGGTTTGGGGATCTCTTGGGTCGAGACTCACCCCAGAGTTAAAGTGGCTAACCTAACGGGGGGCGTTTTCCAGCTTGGTGTGGCAAGGCCTGGTCTCCCCCTGCCCCCCGGCCCCCAACCCAGAGGGGTCAGTACTGCAGTCCCAGGGGCCTCCCCGGAGTGCTCTGAATCGGCCATGTGAGCAGTTAGGACCTCACCCTAAGCTTAGAAAAGAGAGACAACATAGGGCCCTTTTCCGTGAAAATAAACTATATTAAAATAACAGCATAAGTATTGTTTAACTTAACTCATTATGAATGATAAGCATTTAAAGGCTGGATACCATATAAAGAAGTCCAGATACCTGCTTATGACTGGTACTTACGTTCTGTTAAGTTTCCTTATTATTAATAACTGTAACTAAACCTTAGTCTTAAGCAGCCCCAACCCTGTGGCTCCTCTCAGGGCCCATGGGGCCCCAGCAGAGTCCTATCCGTCCACGGATAGGCTGCTGCAGAATTCCCATGGGCCCCTCTGCTTCTAGAACTGCCAGCAACGGAGGCCGGCTACATCTCCGGCCTGTGGCTGCGTTCCCCCCCCCACCCCCCAGTCCGCAAGGTCAGCCCCAGCCTCTTAGATCCCTTACTGCCCGCGTCTTCAGCTTCGGGGTTACCCTGTGACCTCTGTGCATAGACCTCCTTTTACCTGTTGGGTTTTCCAGCCTAGCCTCGCTCAAGTTAAATGGGGGCGTTTTTCCCCCTTATTTTAAAAAGTGGGCCAAGACTCTTCTTTCCTCTCATTGCTTCGTACAGACTTCCTCCCAGCCACCTGCCAATCACAAGAAGCGTTTACCTCTTCCCAGCAGTGAGCTCATGCACCCATGTACCGTGTGTCTCACTGTTCTTCCCTCCCCATTTCTCTTGGCATGTGTGCCCTCTGTCTTTATTTAGTCTTAAGAGAGCACAGAAGGAGATGTCTGTTCGACATAATCTGAAATCCACGGCATCTCGGCCGTGAGCGGCAGTCCCTGCACACTGCCTTGGGAGGGGGGCGCTTTACAAAGGCAGGGGCCTGGTGTCCCGGAAAGTCGGGCAGACCCCGGTTAGCGTCCCTGCCCCGGAGGGTCTGGGCTTGGGACCTGGAGTCCCGGACGGGGTTGCTCAGCTTCCTTGGGCACCAGTGGCCGTCTCTCAATGGGCTTGTCGGCCACCTCGGGCCAGCACTTAGCAGTATCCGGGGCTTACTTCCTGCATCAGCTTCAGCAGGTGGCAGCGCGTCCCCTCCCCAGCGAGAGCATAAGGCCCTGGAAGGCAGGCTGCTACCTTTACAAACCATGCTCTCATGTTGTCTCTGACCAACGGCGAGCTTCCTTCTGGCCTGTGGCCACGGCTGCACACGGGGCCTGGCTATGGTGGGGTCCCAAAGGAGTCACAGTGCTCTCGGGCACAGACAAGATTTTTATGAAGGACGGAAAAAAGCCACATCATGAAAATCCTTGAGAACTGGACCCCTGACCTAGGATGATCCAAGGTGAGCATGCGGCCCGTGCATGCAGCACACACCTCAGCACCAGCAACTCGGAGGGTCTTCGGTCTGCAGATGCCCCCCCAACCCCACCCCCGGGGCTTCCTCTCTCCTCGGCCTGTCCAGGCATTGCCACCCCAGCGGGGACTCACTCCCGAGCTGGTGAGGACACCGGAGATCACGGCTGGCCCGGCTTTCACGCCTGGTTCCGAGAACACGGCTCCCATCTCTCAGAGCTGGACCCCCGTGACAGCTGGGCTGGCCCTGGTTCTTCCTGAGGAGAAGCTCAAGGCATCTCTGTCACCTCTCCAAGCCTCAAGGAAAGGGCTTTCCGGGCCTTCCAGGGCCAGACTAGGCCCATCGCTGAGACCTATCTCTGAAACAGCTGGGTGCAGAAATTATAGCTTCCTGGTGACGATCGGGCCCCCCACTTTGCATGGCAACGCAACGGGTTCCTAATGACTGAATTGTTTATTTAATAAAGAAAGCGCAACCATTTGGAGGTTTAAATATAGCCTCCCAGAAACCCAGTGAGCTCAGCTCCCGGGGCCTGCCCCGCACGAAGCCTTTAGCAGTGGCTTGAAACCCACTGAGTTTCCCCAACCCTGTTGGCTTTCCCCCAGAGTCTCTTCTTGGCTTTGAGCAGAAGACACGAATTCTGTGAGAGGCAAAAACTACTTGCGGGTTCTGAATCAGAAGGGGAAGTTCAAAGGTGTGCGAGGACACCTCTTTTCGCTGCCCCCTGGGGTGCCCCTGACCTGGAACCCCCCCGGGGAATGTCAAGGCTGGATCCCAGGCATGGTTCCTGGGGGGCTGAAATCCACATGGTCCCATCCTGGAGGCTTTTTGCTCTAAATCGCAGAGCCAGCAAACCCTAGGACTTTGCAAGCAAAGTGGCCCCTTTCCTGTCTTTTTGGGGTAGTTAGGGCTCTGTCGCTGGGGAGTTGTAAGAGCAGAAGCAATATTCCTTAAGAGTTGCCTGAAGACTCACTCTCCTCTCCCCACGGCACGCTCAGGCCTCCAATGAAGACGAGGAGACAGTGAACAGTGTACAAGAGTTTATTTAAATGATATCTGAACTTAGTTCTATCATGTGGGGCCCACATTACAAGTTCCATCTGGGTCCATTACAACTCTAACCAAAAAAAAAAAAAAGAAGAAGAAGAAGAAACTTAAAAAAAAAAAAGAAAATCCACAACTTTTTCCATGTCATTAAATATATTCATATATAATAACCATAATATATTAGTATGCATTGGAAAGAAACACTGACCCAAACAATATGTCATGGTCACAACTAAACATTTACAATTCTGAGTGAACAGAACTCAGAAACGCAGGAGGGAGCTGGGGGGAGAGGGGATGGAAGTGCCTTTGGGAGCAGAGTAAAGAGAAGTCTGATGACATGGGAGTGGGGCTGGCTTGGTTTTGGCCGGGGGCGGGGGGCGAGGCCCCACGAATACACATTTGGATACCGCTAGGGGTATGGTGTGGCTGTGCCCATGACCAGTGGCCCACTGACCCCATCCGTGAGTCTAGTTCGTCCACTCACCAGTCTCTCTCTCGGGGGCGTAGGGGCCTTCCTTCAAGTGTTGAGACCCTGACATTTTTCAGTCTCATTCCAATCTGGGGCCCACCCGAGGGAGTCTGTACCCGTTTCCTGCATGCTACCATGGAGGCAGAGCTCCAGGGGGACGTGAGGGGCCTTGGCGCGGCCCCCAGCTGCCCTGGCTTGCACCACAGGCGTCCCTCCCTCCCTCCTTCCCGTCTGTGGGCACCTGGGGCTGCCCCTCTCCTTCCCCCTCCCTTCCACCCCCAAAATCTTTAGTGTTACTGGGTGTCAGTCAAGCAGGCACTCTGCTGTCAGGGGCTCCAGACCACCCCGCAGCTAAGAAAAAGGACAGGTGGGCAGTCTGTTTTCGTTTTAAAAACTAATCTGGTATGTTTTTCTTCGAACACCTACATATCACAATTCTGGTTAATACACTCTTCAAAACCAAAAGCTAGCTCCATTTTACATCCGTTCCTAACTGTACAAACCGGACCGCCTCCGTTCCTCCTTCCGTCTCCTCCCAGGGAGGGGGGCGGGCGGGAAGAAGATGCTTTCCCCAGGATGGGCCCTCGCTGCTGAAGTGGGTGGCTGGGATCCGAGGAGCCGAGGGCTGGGTCCTCGAGATGGGCGAGGCAGGCTGGGATGACTGAACTCCCGAACAGGGTCCTCACCCCCACCCCGCAGCTCTGGGGCCCCGGCCACGGTGGGGACGGGGACAGCCTGTGCCCTCGGGGTGCTGAGCCCAGGGTGAGGCTGGAAGCTGGTGGAATTTAAAGCAAGAGGCCTTGTCACTTGGCAGGCCGCTGGCTCCAGAGCTGAGGGGGCCTCGGAGACCACCAGTGCCAGCCCCTCCAGTGGACGCGGGGAGACACTCAGGCCCAGCAGGGCACAGCCCTTCTGGGCAGGGTGAAGAAGCCAGGCCAGTGTGAGCAGAAAGGAGACCAGGCCCTTTCAAGGACGGGGCCCAGCAATTAGAGATGCTCATGGCGCTCACAAACCTCCTGGGGCCTGGAGAAGGGCTGGCCACTCGGAGGGGTCCCTGTGCACCCAGCCTTGGGCCTGGATGTTCTTTCCCAGAGCAGTGCTGTCTTCTCCCTGCCCCCTTAGGCATCTCTCCCGGTCTGTCCTGGAAACCCTCCAAACACTCCCAGGCGGCCGAATGTCCTTCCTACGACGTTTTAGCGTTAGCCAAGGCCTGCCTTCTTGGACCTGTGGCGAGTTTACGCCCTGCCTCACCCACTCTTGCCGCCACCTCTTAAGATGCTGTGTCCATCCCCCGCCCCACCCGGTCCCCGTCCCCACCCTGACTCCTATTCCCCAGGCTAGAGGCAGTAACCAGGGCCAGTGTCTCAGCGGCGACCCAGCCGCGGGAACCGAGGGGGTGGGCGGGCTGCAGTAGCAGTGAGGGGCAGTGTGGCCAGAAGGCCCGGCTCTGGAGTCTGACCCCGGCTCGGCCTCTTATTTGCCTGTGACCTTGAGCACATGGGCTTCAGTGTCCTCGCTGGCAGAGGTGGGGTGAGAATCCCTGTCTCAGGGTTGTCATGAGGCTTATGTGAGATCACGTGGGTAAAGTGCCTGGCACAGAGCAGGTGCTCAGTAAAAGGCCGCTGAGCTGCGGGCCGAAGCGGGGGGAGGCGGAGGGAAGCCAGACCGCGAGGGGCCAAGCTTCATACTTGGTATGACCCTAGCTAGCCGCCGAGCTCCGGCAGGGAAAATGAAACCAATTTCCTGACTGAGAGAGGAGCCAGGCCTCTAATTCAGTGTGCCGGGTGTGAGGACGTGGGCCGGAGGCCCCGGGGCAGTGCAGAGAGCTCCGAGGCAGGGCAGCAGGGGGCCCCAGGGCCCCGCGACGGGCCAGCCAAAGGGCCAAAGGTCTGGGGCCGCCTGTTTGGGGACAGTGTCTCCAGAAAGCTTTGGAAAGGGGGCCTGGCCACACCAGGGGGCATGGGAGGCCTCCACAAAGAAGGGGCAGCCGGAAAGGAGCAGGCGAGGTGCTGCCTGGCTGGAGGGGTCAGCCCCAGGGCGGGGGGGTAGCTGCAGCCAGCATTCTTGGTCCAGTAGCCTCTGTCCCTTTCCCGAGGGACCCAGGAGTGATGGCAGCAACGGGAAGTGGTCATGGCTTCCCTGGCCCACAGGAACCCACTCATCCCTGCCACTGCCTGCCCGAGGTTTGGGCACCCTGGGACCTTGCTGACTGAGCCCGCAAACCCTGGCCTTCCGGGGGTAAGCCCCTTCCCCCAGCCCGGCCCAACTGCCTGTGCAAACCTGCATTCCATACCCCAGGCCCTTCCCAGGAGCTGACGTCATTACACAAATAGTGTCAGGGCCCCTACCCCCTCCCCTGGAAAATGTCATCAAGGGGCTGGTTCCAAGTTTCCAGAAAGGAAACTCTCTGGGAGGTTTTGCCTTTGCAATGCCTCCTCCAACAGGCAGCTCCAGCGTGAGGCGGTGACCACCCGGCTGGGGCTTCTCAGGGGTGTCCCTGGGCCCACTGCCCTCCGCCTGAGCCAGAAGCCCGGGCCAGCACCCATCGCGCAGCCGGGCGGGGACAGGCGCCGACGCCGGATCGCGTTCCTCTGGCTCCACCGACGGGAACCCCCCCGCCCCGGCTGCCCCAAGACCCCCCCTCCCAGGACCGACTCAGCAGGTGGCAGCGGAGGCCACGGGCCGCCTGGGGACTGCCGGGGGGGACAGACCGCTGCGGCCGCCCTCAAGTGCGGACGGGGCCCAAGTTGTCGCGGCCAGGGGTCCCGCGTGGGGATCCCCAGACAAAGGAGGGTTCAGGCCCCCGCCCCGGAGTTCACAGTTCTCACGTCCCCCTCTCCAGAACCGGCCGGCGCCGCGGGGGCGGCCCCACCTGCACGGCTCTGCACCCCACACCCCGGCCCCTCGGCCCCCCCCCCCGAGTCAGGCCCTCCCCGCCCGGGGAGCGCGCCGCCGCTCTGGAAGGAGCCCGTGAGGTAGCTTAAGTCTCGTCCTCATCTCTCCCGCCCCGGGCGCGCGACAGTGGGGGGCGGCGGGGGGCGGGGCCGCAGCCCGAAGCCCCGCCCCGCGGCCCCGCCC